AATGTACTAATATTACTGTTGCATATGTTTAAGACTGAGCTCATTTTAAATACTTTATTTACTTCTGTTTATTGTCCACCATCATATTCTATAATTCAGGTTTTTGGTGAGTAAAACTGCTGCCCTCTGAGCTTACCCAGATCCAGAAATTCTTAATGGGAGACAGACACACCCATATTACAAAGATTTACAAAAACTTTACTTGTATGCTAAAATGTGTTTCTAATAATTTTCTATTCTTTTACTCAAAATTGTCACTTACAAAATATAAAGGTCCATCTTATTGTGAAAGGGCAACTAATATGGATTAAGAAAAATCCCCCCTACACCAAATGATCTTCAGTGCTTCCCATAAATGAAACACTTACTGCATATCTAAGATGGCTGCCATAGCACACTGAGGAGAAATGAACAGAAAAGCATGTTACAAAACAAGGAACGTGTTTTAGCTAGAATATCAAAACACAGCCCATTGTGTTAGCTATAACAGTATAAATTAGATTAGATATGGAGGAATGATTAAATGCTGATCAACCTCTCAGGTACGAACATGTTTGCTTTAAGAAAGACTTGAAAATAATCTGTTTACACTGGTGCTAAAATTAAACTACAGGCACTTGTAAGCATGTCTGTGCATGTCTAATCTCAATGCTCAGTGCATATAAAAGAACTGCATCTAACTTACTATCCATGATGAAGGTAATCAGCGGTACTCCTGGCTAAAGATTACAATTAATGGTAAACTGTGGTGTCGGTGTTTCCTCTCTGCTGTTGGACTCTGACTGTAGCTCTGTTTCACTTTCTGTTTCTGTCTTTGGCTGCACTAAAACTCACCAGCAGTTGAAAGAGTTTGTAGCTCTATGGAAACTTAAATTAAGATTACAAAATTCAAGTTAGAGTTTTATTAAAGCCGAAAGATTTATTTGTCGTGCATATCTTTCCACTGGAAGTTGGAGAGGAAACTGTCTGGCTAAGTAAATTCTAATGAGAATAAATGTTTTAGTGATATTCAGTTATTTGTACAATTAATTCTGAAATCTCAAAATAATATTGGTTAGTATTCAGAAGTGTAGATTTTTCTCCCTGACAGTTTTTAATAAAAATAAATAAGAAGTAAGAAGAAAATGAAATGGAGAAATTTAATTGTCAACAATCATTTGCAGTATAAGAATGTGAGTGCAGTACTTAGAAATACTTAAAAACACTGAAATACCTACACCTGTCATAAAACCAAATGATGGTTACTTTACTAATGATTTGTTTAAACAATTTATAGTTTTCCTTAATATCTCTGATGAAACTATAAGAGCTTAATGCAGTAAATAAAGATTTAATAGTTTAAAAATCAGATTTATGCACAAATCAGATTTCTTTCACATTAAGGTATAAAATATGATGTTGTGTAATTAATTTTAAAAAGCCTGTTGTTTTAGCAAGTACGGCCAGAACAGTCTGTTAGTCAACTACAAAAGCACTTTAAGAAATATATCCTCTCCTGACGCCAATATTCAGCTTTAAAGAGTTTAAGAAAAATTGAGGGTTGTTTTTAAAATGTTGATATCTTGGTATAGACAAAAGAAACCAGGACTGATCAGATTATTTCACCTTTTATCTGATTCTTTGGCTGTTCTGATCAAAATGTTTTGGCAGGCGTTCAAATACATAAAAATGAATGTCAGCGTTTTAGTTGGAAACCTGATTACCCACTGCTTTCATGCTCTGTAGCAGTGAAAAGAGAAACATGCAGAGAACGTTTTTTTAGATGTTCGCTTTAAAACTTTTAACAATATTAAGTTTTTCAAGTCCAGTTTTAGTCTTTACTCACACAGATCAAACATTGGATCCTTTTTTATCAATTTGTGATGGTTATTTGTTTTTAAATATAATATAATGTATATTTTATACATTGGTAATTCATTTTAGAGATAATTTATTTTTAGTAATAATTTAAGAAACAAAAATCCAAAGAGCCCCTTGAGCTCTTTTTTTAGTGAGGTGAGCCATAAGACCTTCCATCACAGCTACATAACTCTTCTCAGTGCAGCTGAGTCATGTGACTACGCAATAACTATAAGATCAGAGCTGAGAGGAGACGGCAGACAAAATTCAGCCAAGATGAGAACTGTTTACACCGACATGTCTGCTTTCTGATGAACAGCCAAACGTAAAGAAAACATTTTGCTCTGTACAAACTGGAATTTTAATTTGTCTTTGCTCACACAGATGTTCATTTTGTTTACAACCTGTCTACAAAAGAAAAAAAGAATCCTGGGAGTGCAGCCAAGTCAGAAGTGAAACGAAAATAAGTGTCATATCAGAGTCTAGTTAGACAACAAAGACGACAACAACAGAAAAGGGACGTGCTGATATTAACCTGAATTCTTGTGACACTACATTAACTTCCTTTTTGATCATGGAAGGTGAGATATATTTTCTTTTATTTTTAGGCATTTTTTGCTAAACTCTTTTTAGCTCCTTACATCTCACGGTGTGGCTAATTTACCTTGCAGCAGGGTTTTTAAAACGAAGTTGCTAATCCAACTAGTAAGGGAAATGGATTTTGAAATGAGGAGTGGAATCGCCATTTTAAAAAGCATTTTGAAAATCAGTTTATTAATGTGGCATTTAAAAATGCAGAATTTATTCTACAATTTATTATTTAAGCACAGAATTCTTTATTTTGATGCGCAATACGTGTGGCTCTTGTGGTCCTCCATATATATTAAGATGTGTTTGATGATATGAAACAGAGAAGTATGCCAAATATTGAAAAAAAATTAGGAAGTAATTATTCTCTTATGTGCAGAACCCTTGAGGATTGTCCTGCTGGGAAAATCTGGAAGTGGGAAAAGCAGCTTGGCCAACACCATATTTGGAGAGACAGTGTTTGAGATAGATCATACTGCAACCTCTGGAACAAGTCAGTGTACGAAAGCTACCAAAGTGGTGAATAGAACATCTGTTACTATAATTGACACTCCTGGTTTCTTTGACAATCGCAGGTCTAAAGAGGAGCTGAAAAATGAGATTACAAGGTGTGTCGTAGAGTGTTCTCCTGGACCTCACGCTTTTCTTATTTTACTAAAAAAGGATAAATACACAGATCAAGAGATTGAGGTTATTACCAATATCATAGAGTCTTTTTCTGAAGAAGCTTTCAGATTTGCTGTGCTTGTCTTCACTCGTGGTGACGATCTTCCTGAAGGAACGCAGATTGAAGAGTTTTGCAGGGGCAACAACGGTCTACGTGAGTTGTTAGAGAGATGTGGTGGGCGCTGCCATGTCTTTGATAACAAACACTGGAACAACAACCCACAGGATGAATACAGAAACAACCAACTGCAGAGGGAAAAGCTGCTCAACACAATAACAGAGATGGTGAGGAACAATGGTGGAGGCTGTTACACAAATGAGATGCTGCAAGAAG